CTCCTTTTCCCCCCCACTTCTTCATCATCACTCGATTCTACATTCCTACCCAAATTGTCTCCGCTCCCCTTTTCTGCAGTGAACTCTGATGGTAATTTCCTTGTTGTATGGAGTTCTCGAACTTTTCTCTTTTTTCAGGTTTGCATTCCCAACTGCATTCCTCCCACAAACCAAACCATTTTACATTAAAGGATTTCTTTCTTGAAGAATTATTCTCCCAACGGCTTCCCCGTCAGTCGCCACCCCCCTTCAGTTTTCGCCACTCCCCCAGATGAATTCATCAGCAGCCCCACTGAAGCAGCGAAGAAGACTCTACTGATGGACGCAATCCCAAAGGTAAATGAAATTTCAATTTTTCTTGTTCGCTCGTTTCATTTTCCTTCTCTCTCAGAATCAAATCAGAAATTTGCTTCAATTGCCACTCGCATTAGAGAAACTGTTCTCTCTTGGTGTTGGAATTTGTTTGCAATCCTATTTATATGAATTAACGTTTATGCCAGTTCAAGCCTTCATTGCATCCATCAAGCTGCTTGTCTTGATGTATTGTTACTTCACTCAACGACTTCCTGTATGGAGGAGAAGCTTAAAGGTTTTCTTATCAACAATCAAATCGACCAAAGCAACATATCCATTGATGCAAGGGTTCTCATACATTTCTTCACGTATTCAGATCCTTGATCAAAAGATATTTTCGTCTAAAGGCTTCTTTTCTTACATTGCGGATTTCGTGGTTCCATCAAAGGCTCGACGTCGCTTCTGGGCATCGGTGCAAGCATTCTGGAGAATCATCTGGTTAGACTCCAACACGTACAATCGTTCTGTCCTTGAAGAAATGTCGGCCGCGTTGGCTGATGTCCTTCTAACGTCTCCGATATCACAACAACGATGGCAGTCTCCTTCTCGGCACACTCCATTACTCTCTCAGCCGCCTCTATCGACTCCCGCATGCCAACAGACGCGCAGAAGTCTTTTGTGGTCAGATACTGCAGTACCATCACTAACAAAAACCTCACCTGTTAATTCGGAGCGACTTCTCAAGGATTCGAGTTTGGGTCTTCGGTTCTCGACTGTCGGCGAGATCACTGATACAAAGAGACGCGCTTCTGTTTCCGAAGGCCTGCGTTACTCGAAAGAACTCCCCACATTCGAAAATACTCCATCGCAAGACAACAGGGTTGGAGTTGACAACCAGGTCGACTCTCAGCCAAAACGATCTTTCCTCTTAAGTCGCACAGAAGCGTGCGATTTAACAAGAACAGTGATTCTTGTCTTGGGGGTTTGGTTGTTCAATAATTTCATTGATATTTCAGAGGTGTACCATTTCATTCGCGCTCAAAATTTGATGAAAATGTATGTGATTTTCAACATGTTAGAAATTTTCGAGCGTTTATGGAGATCATTAGGACGCGATGCTCTTGATTCACTGATGCGCCAAGTTGTATCGTTTTCGATCGTTGAGCGTCTCCCAACAGTCCAGCGCGTCTCGGTTCAAGGGGTCGATCCGTTAATAAAATCATCACAGGGATTGAAGAAGATGCAAGAAGGATTCCTCGAGCCACAGGAGAGTCCCTTTCAAGGAAATGAATGGGTTGACATTGGGATTTCAGCGACAGATACTAACGCTCTACGTTCTGTTCATCCGCCTGAAGAACCATCACGTTTGTCTCGGAGAGGTATTATTCCAACGAAGCAACGCAGCACACTTGGAACGCTTTACCCCCTCCGAACAACCTCATGTTCGTCCGAACAATGGGGCTCTGGAGAACGTATGCATTTTTGTAGATCTGCCTCATTATCGCCTCTTTCGGACACTCGACATTGTCCACCTGACCAATTCTTCAGAAGAATAAAACGTCAACAGGATACTAACTCGAGTTGCATCCATCATGAACAACAACTGTCTCCATCACCAATCCGAAGTCTTTCTTTTGTTCGAGCGTCCCCTCAGAATTCTTTTGCGTCACTCATTCCTACAGGAACCCCAATCTCACCTGCATTGATCAATCCCACCCCCCGACCGGTCATCCTCGCTCGTCACTATCCCAATGCTTGCTACCCCCCGTTGTCCCAAAGGACCCTCAAGCTTGGGACACTTCGCCCAAAAATTCTGAATCCCTTCTTCAATCCCTTACACGTCGCGACATTGTACATCCGGGTGTTTCCGCTATTAAGGAGAATCCTCCATTCGGTTCATCGTCGACTCATCAACCTGAAGTGCCTTTTTCGTCTTTCGCGAGAATATGGAAAATGACGAGTGGTGGTCGTCGTTTGATCCTCTATATTGCCGTGAGTCGCATCTTCTTGGAGGACACACTTATTTTTAAACGCTTCTGTTTGTTCATTTCAGCTCGTGCTGATTTATGTTGTCGTTCATAGCTTTTCTCATCTTATTCGCGTCTTGCTGCTCAACATAGCTATCAACTCATCTGACTCTGTGATGTTCTTGATTGTCACGACAAACAATTTTGCTGAAATTAAGTCGACCGTAAGTTCAGATTCCAAAAACTTCATTATTTTCTAGAATCCTTCCACATATTTTTGTTTGGTTTCAGGTCTTTAAGAAGAATGATGCAAAGACTCTTTTTCCCATCGCTGCATCGGATGCAATTGAGCGCTTTTATCTTGTTCATGACGCCGTTATTGTGTTTCTTCGACTTTCCGTTTCTGCACGAACCCCAATCGTCTCCTACTTCAGCGTCTCGTGGTGGTTGGTAAGGTTCCTTCTATTTAATTAGAATTGCAATCTTTCTTCACTTGCTCTTGGTGTTTCCAGGTCAGTATGGTCGCACTTGAACTCGGTGTTGATTGGTTTAAACACGGATTTCTATTGAAATTAAATCGGATCGAGTCTGATGTTTTTGAGCAATATCGTCAGGTTCGGCTTCTATTCAATTTATATAGCTTTTTTATTGTCTTGTTTAGGTTTTTCTGGCAGATCTTCTCGTGTGTCGAATGAAGCACCCTCCTAAGGATGATACAGCGATTCTTGGGTCTTGGTCGCTTCCATGCCGCGGATTTTATTCCTTCCCTCACGTTTGTGCCAGGTATGATGTTTTTGCTAAATTGTTTAAATTGCGCACACTCTTTTTCAATATGACAGACGCATTGGATTCATCGGTCTCCCTCTAACTGCGCAATTGCTCTGCTGCATGCCAAAGTAAACAGTCATCACGTTATCCCATATATCTTTGTTGGCCTCACAGGTTTCCTTTTTGGTCGTCCCCTTTTTTGGCAACACTGACTGTTGCTCTTCTTTGGAGCAGTCTTCTCGTTCTTGCCATCATCGTGTCTCTCTGGATGGTCACTTACGCGGTTCGCCGAAAATGCAAATTAAGAAATTTAGACAAGAAATTGGATCAACTGTCAGCGATGTAGAGTGCAGTGTGAGTACAGTATTCGGTTTTATTCGTCACTTTCGAACGATACAACAACACGAAAAATCGAGTGGTAACGATAGATTACCAACAAAGTCGATGTTCAGCTATTTGGCTGGAATCTTGAAGCTGAATTTTTTGCCCGAGAACGTGAAAGTTGCTACATTCTTCTCGACTGTTGCCGCTGGAGGAGTCAAGAACGGACTCGCCAGAAAAACAGAATTATCCACAAAAACGGGCTTCGGTCTGAAGAGTCTGAAGAAATTCTTCCAGGAAATGCGCTTCTTAAAGCGGAACGGCACAATTGAAGAAGCAGATGACCCAGAATGCGAACCAATAATCAAAGTGCCCTTCTGTCCAGAATTATCAAATAGAATGAAATTCACAACGGGATGAGGTGGAAGCTCCGATTGAGGGCGCTGGCACACCAGGGTCTCGCGTTGAAGCAATTCAGCCATCTCCGCTTCCTTCTTCTCTTGAAGAGTCGTTTTATCCAGAGGTCCTTCGGGTTGAGGATTCCGTTCCTTCACCGGCATTTTGACACCAAAGGCGTTTGCATAATTAATGGCGCCGCCAACAGTGTAATGGAGCGACTCAGTGTTTGCACACATCGTGCATCTGATCGAATAGTCATCTGTCATCTTATAGTCTTTCGCCCTTGGGTCGCCATAAGTTGTCACTACTGGTACCGAAAACGGCTGTACTTCAAATTCGCTCTTCACGAAGTCTTTGTTCAATTCCACCATCGTTTGAAATATCTGCCCTACATTCACCAAAGTGTACCGCTCGCTGTCGTAGACCATAACGACACGTTGCTTCTCAGCGTCTCGCATCACTTTCCACTTTTCCAACTCTTCCTCGAACAAGACCTTCGCCTCTGGCGTGGTCTTCATGTACAGTTCTTGCATTATTCGGACCACCTCCTTGAGCTGGTTGAATGTGGTAGGCATCAGAGGGCATTTCAGCGTTACCCTCGATGGCCGCGGGGGCATTTTATCCTTGTCGGGACGATCGGCATAAAGCTCTGTTTTCACTTCAAACATCAAGTCTGCGGGTAAGCCACCCTTATATTGCACCTGAATTCAAAAAAAAATTAATTCAACTCAACGCGGATAAGAACCCACCCAGCTCAAGTACAGAGGAGCACTTGCTCTTGCAGGAAGTGCACTGGAAAACGTTGTTTCCAGCTTCCAGTAACACTGCTTTTCCTTTCCCACATTTGCTGGTGTCCACTCATTTTTCTCAGTCAAAGCGAGAACCTGCTTCAACTCGCGATTGAAGTTTCGGAAAAGAGCTGCAACCATCTTCTCATCAGCCTGTTTTTCTGGACCCAAATCCGCGGCGGTTTTTCTGAGAGATTTTCTGCCGCGAGCCGAAGCAATTTTGTTAACAAGTTCTGACATGAAGGGAACTTTTTTGCCATGAAGAACAGCAGCTGATCTTTCCAAAAACAAGAAAGCAAAGAGACCGCAAATAACGCCGAGAAACCGCATTTTTTACTGAGTTGGAAGAAATGTAACCTGACACCACGCAGGCCGTCGGTAACGGTTCCTGGGACACATCGGTCCACGTATACACATCGAAAAAAAAAGATTCAATATCAAACAAATTTAACTCTGCTCGCAATTAGTGCGTCTTTTGTGATGGTTGTTGCACTACAAACTCATCAATGAATTTTCTAACCGCTCTGTCTCCTTCGTTTAGCGCGTTGGTCTGCAACTCTCCATTGAGAATCAATTTCACTGCTGTGCGTATTTCATGAGCTCCCATTGTTTGTTTGTTGGAGTTTCCAAAATTAGCTAACCTCCCAGCTTCTGTTGCCAAACGCTCCAATAAATCACACACAAATGAATTGAAAACTTTCATGGCCTTCAAAGAAACATTCAGCTCTGGTCTGGTTTCGCGCATAATTCGGAGAATATAAGTAGAATATTTGTGGTAGTCTCGTTTACGTTGACGACCTTTAATCCCCTCATCTGGGCGTGCAGCATTCCCCCTTTTACTCGAACTAAGTTTATCGCGCTTCACTTTCTTCTCACCAGATGGCGAAGGTTTCTTGGATGATTGACTTGCGACCATGAGGAATTTAACGAAACAATTTATACGTTTTACGTTTTTTTTGATTAGTGTACTTTCGACGTTTTCGTTTTTGATTACGAGACAGGCAAAACGAATTACATGCACAACGGCAAGAATCACAGAAGCACGCTTCTTCACATCGACCAAGATGTATCGCACGCCTTCCATATCGAGACAGAACTCGCTTTAGTAACAAACAGCCGTCCGTTCATTTGTGTTAAATTTCACGCTCCATTATACGTTTGATCATGCTACCGATTCTTTGAATTTGCTCTCTCGATTCGAGCTGCGATGCCCAGGATGGAAATGAAAATGGAGCATTTGCCACTTCATTGAGAGAATGATCCAGTTGAACATTTTCTGCACTTTCTTTTTCTGTGCTAAAAAGTGATTGGGCGTCAGAAGTCGCTGGCCATGAGTATTTGAGGCTGTGGAGGCAGATGAACGAGTGCCTATCAATCGGGTAAAGAACAGTCTTGGAGACACTTGGAATGGAAAGAGAAAGACGATTGATTCCCGGGAGCTGAGAAGAGAGATCAACTGGGAAGGAATGAATCCTTGAACTGCGACCACTCACTCCACTCTTCCTCTTCAAATTGGAGCCTCGATTCTCCTTCCTTCAGCAGTGTTGAGTACACGCGATCATTGACGATCGAAGTCCCACTTGCCTGGAAAAGAAAATCTGGCTCCATTCAATTGGATCGTTTTCCTCACCAATAGATGAGCTCTGAGTTGATGCGTCCGTCCGGTCACAGGTTGACAAAGAACAAGAGGAGATGGACCTGAAATACGAGAATAAATGTATTCAAGAGTAAATGTATTGGTGTTCAATCCTACCCTCAGTCAACGGGATAAAAACGGACACTGATTGCTTTCCCTATGCAAGGACGTTGAAGAGTTGAATGGCAGAAATCACTCACATGCTCTACAGAAGGCACTGAGTACAACGGTTTGTTTGCTTGATGCTTTTTCACTTGAAGAGGAACTCGACATATTAAAACATTCACAAGGGAAAGAGGATCCATGGGGTCGACGGCAACTGATGCCCACTCGAAGTCATCCTTGGAGGCAAACCTCGCTGAATGGCTGCGGAAATGAAGATGATAATTTAGCGATGTAAAACTTTGAAGCGAGTGAGAGCCGTGACGACAAAATTCGAGATACAGTTTCTGCAAGAATTCAAGAGAAAATCGGAAGGTGATTTATCGTACTTGACTTGGAGAAGAAAATCAATCCCGAAGTTTGTCGATCTAAGCGATTGATTGGATGAAGATAGAAGTCTGAAAAAACTGTTGTTGTGGTAGAAATAACTTGAAAGCCAAACCTGGGGAGCTTCCTGAAAATCCCTTCAGAAGATGCACAAGAGAAAGTTTCTGGAATCTGCCTTGCGGCATACAACTAAGAGAGAGACAAATATGAAGGAGATAATCAAGGAGATAATCAAGGAGATAATCAAGGAGATAATCAAGGAGATAATCAAGGAGATAATCAAGGAGATAATCAAGGAGATAATCAAGGAGATAATCAAGGAGATAATCAAGGAGATAATCAAGGAGATAATCAAGGAGATAATCAAGGAGATAATCAAGGAGATAATCAAGGAGATAATCAAGGAGATAATCAAGGAGATAATCAAGGAGATAATCAAGGAGATAATCAAGGAGATAATCAAGGAGATAATCAAGGAGATAATCAAGGAGATAATCAAGGAGATAATCAAGGAGATAATCAAGGAGATAATCAAGGAGATAATCAAGGAGATAATCAAGGAGATAATCAAGGAGATAATCAAGGAGATAATCAAGGAGACATTTGATGCTGGCTGCTATCTTAGGAATTCACGACTATCATCTCATACGGCAATCCTGAAGGTTTGGAACAAACGAGCAATTGCGGAGTGTCCAAGATAACGCTAAGATGAAACGGGCGAGGCTCCACCAATGTCTGCGATGAGAGGTTAGACTGCTTGATGATACAATGTCTGAGATAGCGACATTTATCTGTTGCGTACTTCGTGAAATATTAAGGAGTACTGGATTGTGTCACCGTTACGCAATTGATAATCCCAAGGAGATTGGAATTGTGCGATGATTGGGATGTTGTTGATGTAGACTCCATTCGAATGAACATCGTCATCACTGTCTCCTGATTGATGCTTGATGATGATGATTTCATGACAGTCGAGATGAAACTCCGTGGAAAAGATGACGCAATCTGAAATTATTAAGCAGGTCACTCAATCACCGTCGCGAAGTATGTAGAACACTCTCAACTTAAAATTTAAAGCTTCATTCAATAAAGAGGAGAAGCTGTATTTGCACTTACGTTTGGCCAATCCATCTTTCTTTACAATCAAATTCAAATGTTTTCAGATATTCTGGGACAACAAGGAATTTGGCATGGGATTCAATGTTTGACGATGCATCATCTGATGAGCGACGCTGCACGTTGGAACTATTCAACTCAACAGTAGGAAATGGGAATGAAAGGGAGGCAGCTTGACTCATTGACAGGGACAATTCTTGAAGCAAAAAAGAAAAAAAAATGGAGAAGAACGATCAGCCGATCACCAAACAGTGTCAGTATCGCTCGAATCTTCTACTCCACGTGAAACTTCATGAACATTTCGACGAAGCATCGGCTTTCCAGCCTTTCGATCTGGAAGGATCCCACAATCCAACATTTCCTCAAGTGGATTCTCACCAATGATTGAAGCGCGTATGTTGAGTCTTATATATGGGGAGGGAATTGTTTCACCAGTCGATTTACACGGAATATCAAGAACTATCGATAAACGTCCATTTGGTCCGACTGGCGTTAGAAAGACTTTGAGATCTGTGGACAGAGTTTGATGCCCCAATGATAGAAAGATGAATCCGTGTGCTTGTTCGCTTACACACGAGATTTTTACATTTGTCGCTTCCTTCCTCGTCAGAGCTCTGTTGGCTGTCTATTGCTTCCAATTCTTCAGAAGATGTCACTAAACGAATTTGGAGGTGAGGGTTCCCTTGGGCGACTGAAACGCTAGAACTGGAACGGTTGTGGTGTATGAATATCTAGATCGCAGCATTCCAAGTTTCACGTCGACTGATAGCAACTCAGAGGTCGTCATTGCTATTTTAAGAACATTGCTTGCTGTTCACCAACAGTTACGGTACGCAAATTAGGTTTGGTGTGTGACTGGAAAGAGCAAAAAGAGTTAGTTGAACCTGGAGGGATCAAAGTAGTTTTCGTCGAATTTGTAAAGACGACAATTTCCTTCCTCTGCGCCTGTAGCGAATCCTTTTCCATCAGGCATGAACGCGACTGAATTGATTGGACTGAAATGTCCAGAGACGAATCCAAGAATTTCGCCGGTGACTAGATGCATGAGAACTGCTTCCTGTTTACCCTCCTGAGCCTCTGCAGCACAACAAGAGACCATTCACCATTCGAAGACCAAGTCCCTTTCCCCAGATGGCAGCCCGTTTCCATTCAGGGATGTAGATATGAAGCACGGCTACTCACTTGTGGTGGTAACTTCACTTGCTTTTTGTCCTCCAGCAACTATAATGTGCAACCGTCTTGTATCGTCTTCTCTATCGAAAAGCGGCGAGATAGAACATCCGTTGAGTGGCCGATCTGTTTTAAACGTCTGAGAATCAAAAATAAAGGAGTCGTAGAAAACAAATCGCAATTCTTAAAAAGAAATAGAGAATTGTCTAAATGGACCCACTTGAATTTGTTCCCAACTTGGGACAGACCACAGAGCGGCGGTTCCGTCGTTGCAGCTTGTCAGACATACAGTGCGTTGATGAGAGAAATCCATACAAGTGATCTCTCTGATAGAAGAATGAATATGAATGGACTCAATCGACTTGTTCTCACCCGTTGTGAATCTTCTTCTCTGTCGTCTTCTGTCCACTTTCCAGATTCCATTCAATAATCGTTCCATCTACATGTCGCGAGATGATCGACTGATCAAACTGCCCCCATGCGACTCCAATGCAGCGTGACTTGTAATCAACAAATTCGTGAACCTTCACATAATCGTCTTTTTGATCATTCCACTCATACACCTGAACAGCTTCTTTGACACGAGCTCCAAGAGAATCACGAGCAACAGCGAACTTCGTCTAAGAATAAAGAAGTACAGAAAGAGCAGATCTGCATCATGTGGAAAATACACGCGGGAACTGAGGAATGAGCGTCATCGTTGAGGATTTGAAATTACTTGATTATTTAAACTAGTTTATTTATTTTGTAGCTGAATTACTTGATTGATTGGATTCTTATTCCACGAAACGGCACGCGCAACAGAATCTAATGACATGTGACGGAGTTGCTTTCCTGTTGCAACGTCGAATATGAATATTCCTTCTGCTGATGCTGCTATCAACTTGGAACCATCATACGTCACGTCGACCTCCCATATGACTTTCTCATTCAGCGGAACTCCATCAACGACCGGAACTAACTGGCCTGAAAAATGGTGGAAAAATATGTGCAATCAAAGCGCGACTCGTCAGCATTTCCCCACCAAGGTGTTTTCCGTCCTCAACGTCCCAAACGCAGAGATTTCCATCTTTTCCACAAGAGAAAAGAAGGTCCCCTGCGTGGCTGAAAACGACTTTCGTCAGAGGACGGAAGTGCCCGTTCAACACCAACGGTTTCATGATCCTAGGGGACCTGTCCTTAAAAAGGACCTGCTGGTTGAAACAGGTTGACTAAAGCGTCCCATTTGGGGCAGCCGGGGTGTTCAGGATTTATCTCGCTCCCTAGAGAGGCAGTGAGTTCAGTTCCACGTTGTTACTATAGATGTTGCAGAACAGCTTTTGACTAAAAATGAACATTCAGGCCTCCTCTGCTCGCCGTTGTCTCTTCTTTTCTCTTTGCCGTTGACCTGTAGGAGACAAACAACATCGCGCAGTATCCAGTGCATGATCAGCCTCGTAACGCATTACCTCTGCTATAAGTTTTGCGTTTCTTTGAGACCTTTATCGGCTCGGCACTAGACTCCTTTTTCATTTGGCCGCTCCTCAACTTCTCCAGTAGCTTTTCATGATGTTTCAGAGCTCTTCTATCCTCCACAGCAAAATCAACTATGGGACGCTTGCTGTCTGTAGCGATTTTTGGGTTGTTATTCAAGTAATGAAGAACCTTCAAAGCGACTTCAGGATGTTCAAAACTCGCGTAACCAAACCCTCTGGATTTGCGAGCTACAAACAAAATAGAAATCATCATGCAATCAGTTCAAATTCCACACACACACCTTTAGGCTCAGCTAGATTTCCGTCATCTGGCTTCTCTGAAACAATCACGCACTGCTTTAGATTCTTCTCTGCAGCACGACGAATCCAGTGTTTCTTCACAGCTCTTGCGTCTTTCTGGCCTTTCCCGAATTCTGGATATTTCTGTACTAAAACTTTTCCAACTTCTTGATCATTCGAGCAAAAATCGATAATTTCCTGATGAAGCTGTTCTTTTTGCATTGTTAGTGGAATGTTCTTGATCGAAAGACCTGAATTGAATCTGACTCTGAAATCTTGATAGAAGCTTACGAAGAGGATTGATCACATAATTTGGATTGTTTAACTTAATCTTCTTCTCCTTGTAGATATTTTCTCTTCTTCTTGCGTCACCCTTCGACATTCCCTACAAACAGCAAATAAATATTCAATTTGATCAAATCTATTCGCCTCTACCTTAGCTTCTTTTCCATCAACTCCAATATATCCAATATCCATCAAATGCATATTTTTCTTGATCACTGTGGATGTTTCTCTCTCCTTCGCCAATTCATTTGCATCCTGGCGATTCAATGCAAGAGACGTTCGAACACGACGTCCACAAATCGTCACGCCAAGCCCCTCAAGAGGAACATCTGATAGAGAAAGAATCACTTGAGTCTCCTCATAGTCATGGGGTCTTCTAGCAGGATATTCATGGCTTTTATTCTTCCACTATTTCTAATTCCTTACCACTAAAATCAGGCAATCGACTTTTGGATCGAGAATTACCAAATGATAACAAACGATCACCAACACGCTGATCCTCTTCGATAACTTCAAGGGCAGAAGATTGATCACGAAATTTTACAAATGCTGTTCCTTTCGATAAACCTACAATCCAGAAGAAATAAATGTTTCAAGTCAAACAAATAGACGTCGCACCTTCTGGAGTTTTCAATACTCTCGCATAAACAATCGGTCCATAACTCGAGAATGCTGCTTTAATGTCTTCAATTGTTGCGCTAAATGGAATATTTCTCACATGAACTGTTTTTCCTTCATCTACATCATTAAATGATTTTTTCTCATCTTTTCCCTTCTCTATTTCTTCATTCTCTATTTCTTCATCATCCATAATTGACTCTGAATCTGATCTGGTACTCCCTTGTTCCGTTTCTACATCTTGCTCATTCTTTTCATCCATCTTTGTACCTCCATTCATCACATCATCATCGCTCTCATCATCTTCCGGCTCATTCAACCCCAACACCTCTAGAGCTTGTTGTCTTGCTGCATTTCCTTCTACTTCTGGATCAATCTCGCTCAATTGTTCTTCATCCTCACTTTCGTCGTCAACAATTTTCTTGAGAGAAACACACATCGCGTCGTATAGTTCATAATCAATTCTAGAGCATCTCACTTCTGGCATTTCTCCCATCAGTCTATCAAAATTGGGTTTTTGGCACTTTTTCCACTGATTTTAAGGCAGAAAAAATTTCTTTATCTGCCGCAAAATCCACAACCACCGGTCTTCCCTTCAAAGGCTTTTTGTTCAACTCCTTGACGGCTTTTTCTGCATCGTCATTCAACTTGAACGTCACGTAAGCAAATCCGCCACTAAAAACAATCAAACACACAGATTTTTCTTCTTTGAGAAAATCTCCGAATGCAGCAGACCAAACCCAACTCGTGTACTCACTGTTCTGCTTTCGGCTCCCCTTTCTTCGGCTGCGGTGGTTTCGACATCCTTAACCGTTTAATCACACCAATTGGCTTCAGCATTGCAAGAATATCAGCTTTCGTTGCTTTGAAGCTGAGATTACGCATGATCAAAGGGCGATCTGCATCAGACTGCGTGAGGTGTTCCGCAGCTAAACTGAATGAGATAATGAGAAATAGGAAGACAGACACTCTAGACACTTTTTTTTTGAAATACGAAGACAGACACTCTAGACACTCTGAGCGATTTCTTACCACGCCACGGCCAACTTCACGTCTCCGCTTCCGTGCGCTTTCTCGCTTCCTCTAAAGAAAGATTCTAAAGCGCTTGATGGAATTTCGAGTCCGTTCAATGAAGCTGCAACTGAAGCAGCGATTTGTGTGGATCCAAGCTCGAAGATCCATTTCTTGGATTCAGATGGTTCACTTGGTTTCTTCCGATCGACATAAACCGCTGTTATTGAAACACTTGGAGGAATGAGGCACGCAACCTGAAAAGAGAGATTTGATAACAACGAGAATGTTTATACGGTTGTCTCTGTAGCGTCCAGATATCGACAAGGTTGAAAGGGTTGAAGGATGACTCACCAAAGCAGCAATCCGTGAATGTGAGAGTGATAATGCAGGAGAGAAGAAGATTGAAATCGAACGTTTTGTGTCGATATCATCTTGAGATGACGCAATTTTGAGTTTCTGGCAGGAGTCACATCCCGATGAGAATTATCAGACCGCGGAAGACACTTACCGATTGGGACATTCTCTGAGTTGTTTTGATCAATAATTTATCCGCTAGAGGAATTTTTTTATCAATTGCAGGTTCAATTGAAATAATTCTTCCATTTAACGAAAATCCATTTAATTTTCTGACAGCGAGATCCATATCCGACTCTAAATAAGAAACCAATTTTTAAACCATCATCATGTTGTCCAAACCCACCCTCATAGAATTCTGCAAATCCATAACCCTTCGACTGATGGCTTTCTTTGTCTCGTACAATAGAAATCCCTTTAACTTTCGCTACTTCACCAAGTACCTTCTTCACTTCTTCTTCAGTCACATCAAATCCTAGATTTCGAATAAACGCTGTCCATTTTTTTCCTCTATTTTGACGTTTTGCTTCGTCAAATCTTTCCTCTCCTTCTCTTCTTTGAGAACGATCGAATTCATCGGCATCATTCATCCACGCTTTTCCTCCTCTTCCTCCTCCGCCCCCTCCGCCTCCTCTGCCTCCTCTGCCTCCTCTTCCTGCTCTGCCTCCTCTGCCTCTGCTTGAAATTCCCTTTCTTTCAGTTCCACGAATCGTCAGCCTTCCCCCCCGTTGCCTGTTACCGCGAAATTGATCGCGAGGCCTTTCATCTCGAGTTTTCTCGCGAGTCCTCTCATCGCGACGACCGCGACCCCTTCCCCCGATTCTCCTCCCTCGATTGGGTGTCGACTTTCCTCGCATCGCAGCAGGAACACCAGGCGTGACTGTTTTTTATAGGCGTGTTAAGTAAAAAACAGGTTACATCAACATGGAAGCAATGTCTTCAGGGGTTTGTTTCACGACCTCCTCTTCATTCGATGAGTCTGACAGACTTCTTGCTCCGCGCTTCTTTGGGAATCGATTACTTGCTTGTTTTGGTGGAGCAAGCTGTCGAGCGAGTTTCGCGAATTCTACTGGGAGGTACGTGACTGTTGATGTCTTCATTAATTTGTTGAACTCTTCTGCATCGCCTGAGTCCCAAGATTCGATGAGTTGTTGTGCTAAGCGGCATTCAGGTGTTTGCAGAAATGATGGACACACTGTTACCGCAGTATCCAAATCATCATTCACAGCTGCGTGATCATTGACATAGAAACGCAAAACAACTTTAGAAAGGCACGATTTGGGAAATGAACCATTCTGAAGAAAAAAGGAGTGATATTGTTGAACAAACAGTCCTATTATTGATCTTGCTATCCACACCGGTAGATTCATACCAGTGGCTTATTGTTATCGTTGATTTTGGTTTGATATGCTCACCTGTTTGAGCTTCGCTTGAGTTGACATCTGAAGATCCAAAGCTTGGAAAAGTTGAGGAACAAATTCTTGATTGGAGACATTTCTTGCTAAAAATCCAATATATGTTTTGAGCACATCGGCAAGGTTGTGATCTTTGTCTTCCAGCTGGTTGAGTTCAATACATTTGCTGTATGCATTTGATGTTCCGCGCAGATCATTTAATTTGCCCTCTCTGATTTCTGCGACTTTCAACCAAACACGGCAGCTGCTGTCAATTTTTCCTGCCAAAAAGTAACACTCCGTTGCCTCCTCTAGCGCTTCACAGCATCCTTTGTAGTCTTTCAGTTGCGCTTGAAATGTCGCCGAAAGATTTTCGAAGCCTCTACCTGCGCCGAACATATCCCCCTGTTGTTTCCTTGTCTGCAAGCAATCAAGAAGAAATTGAAGTCCGCCATTAAAGTTTCAACGTACTTGGGCAAACTCTTTTAGCGCATGAACCGCCTTGTCAAGCTGGCCTGCAGCTTGGAAGCATTTTGCAGCTTCTTGATACTCTAGAGCTGCTTCTTCATAATTAGGTTGAAATTTAAATGCCCACGGATTTGTTTTTAGAGCCTTAGCGGCGTTTTTCAAATGTTTCTCCCCGTTAACAGATGACATGGTGGTGGACGTTAAGACGTCCTGAAACTGTTTGTCGCCTATAGAATTGTGAGATGTGCGAAATACAGTAATTTATCTAACAGATGAAAAAACACCAAATATTTAAAAGGGGCAAGTTCACTTCTGATCAATTTGACCCTCTTCCTCTTCACTTTCGCTTCGACCTTTTCCTGTTTGGCCATTTAATTGACTTGTGGGTCGTCGTTCATTTATTGAACGACTTCTCTGCCTTCGTCGCAGTCTTCGATCCCTCGAACGACTTCTTTGTCTTCCATCTCTTGAACGACTTCCCCGTCTTCCATCTTGGGACAGACTTCTCTGCCTTCCACTTCTTGAACTTCTTTCACTAGTGCGATGATCTCTTGAGCTTTCAAGCCTCCCAACATCTTCAGACTCCATCGAGACATCCTGCTCTTCATTTCTTTTCGGTCGCAAATTTCTTCCCTCTTGATCGGCAGACCTTCGATATCGATCCTGATGATCAGATTCCAATTCACTACGACGGGGAAAGTCTTCAAGTCGCCTTTCATCGTCTCTGCGTCGAGTTGAAAAACTATCTCTGCGACGAGGAGACTCCATTCTCCTATGAATATCTGCAACCAATGAATACAAACAAACAATAAATGACAACAATCAATGAATACAAACAACCCATGAAGACAACAACCAATGTGATATAACGCTAATAAAGATCCAAATCATGGATCATCCATAGAGTCAGGTTTACCTTCGCCATATCTCGGCCCACTACCTCCATAATGTCTTCTACCATTTTCATGATTTCTCTCTAATCGTCTTTCATGATGGTGAAATTCTCGGTGATGAAATTGTCGAGATCGACGATCTGGTTCCTCAATACTTGTTCGCTGCATATCAATGCCATCAAACGATTTAGGGGGAGGGGCTGGACGAGGATTATATGATGCGTGTCTTGGCAGAGTTGTCTCACTGAGATATGTCTACAAACAAACAGATTCATGAGAATATCGTGAAGAGCACTAAGTCATACAGGCCACACTCATCCATTCTCACTTCTAATTCCTTCACGTGCTTTCTGATCGCGTCAAAACCCAAATGAATTCTTCCAACAAAATGTTCATTGAGACGATTTTCTCCATCCTCTATACAAACAAAATTAAATGAAATGAATTGCAATGGGCCTCTTGACTAACTTTCAGACAAAAGTGCACCACAAACGTCGCAGGGTCGCAGCTTCTGAAAGTACATATTCTTCGCGTCCTCAACCCTGCAGGTTTTTTCTTCCTAGACAAAATAAGAAAATCACGCTCCATCCTAAGAGATGAACAACTTACAAGAGCCTGTTTCTTTTTAATATTCAAACGAGTGATCTCGTCCATCACCTTCATTGAACCCCCTACATCTCCTCCATTTCCTAAACAATAAATAAAAAAAAAAATAGAAGTTAAATCAGAAAAAGAATAAAAACTCTTCTTCTCACCCAATTCTTCTGCTTCCTTCATTTTTGCAGCAATTTGAGTTTCAAGTTCATCAACTTCACGTTTCGCAGACGCCTCGATTGATTCGCTTGCCTTATCCTGCGTATCGCATCGCCCCTGAAATGGAAAGCTCACCATTAGACAGAACACTCATTGTTTCCCTGCCTTACTCCGATGGTTTGGCGCGAAATCTTTCGATCACAATCATCAACGTAGAGCCTTAAATGACGCAACGTTGATTCCTCGAACCCATAATTGAATTCCTTTCTTGCTTCCAAATAATGTTCTCTCAAATCCGTCGAGTGTATCTTGGGACACTCACCAAGATATTGTTTCTATTCGAACAAGAAGAGGATTCCAGCCCAGATAAACATGGTCGCTCCACACACGCAGTATTGAACCAAACTCACCGTATTTTGGAACAAGTCATGCGGACACAAACCCGTTAGATAATATTTACAAACTTGATCATCAGTGAAGGTCTTTCTGTTGGATATGTTTGTCTCTGCCTCAACGGAACCCATCAGTTCCGCTAATTGCTTGCGGATTTCGTCCATTGGATCGAATCAAAACTTAAGAAGTAAATCCAAGCCTCCCAAAATTAGAAATTATTAACCTGATCTCCTTCACGCTAATTCATTTTAGTAATCCATTACAACCAGAAAATTTGGGATGCGTCACAGATTTACGAAAGGCAAATCCATTCGAGAAAGTGTTTACAGAAGTACAGATTTTGAGGACCTTTACAATGTTCGTATGTTACAAGACACATAGAGATCAGTGAACACTTCTATAAGTGATGAACAATATTCTGCATTTGATTCAATTGGCGAATAAAAACGAGCGCACCAACGACACGAAGTTTGTTGGTCCTCGCAGAATGAACCTTCTTCAAAAATATTATTAAAATGTTTCGAACTAAGAAATTCTCAATTTTTCATCCTAAATCTCAGAATTCAGAACTCAAAGAAAATCCTTCTGATGAACCACCATTGAAACGACAATGCACATTCCAATCGTCATCATCATCCTATTTGGGACATCAAGACTCGGATTTACGGAACCCATTCGTACCAGCTGAAGTAAGCACTTGATCTCATCGCCGTGATTTCATCGCGCTCCATTCTTTGATCAGGTTTATTTGACTACAACAGATTACGATCTCGCATTGAATGTAAGTCTTTTTATCAATTAATGAAAACAGATTCTATTGATGATCAGTTCAAATTTGAAGGCATTGCCAGTGCCAATTCACACTCCTCTATTGTTTGGACTCCAGTCGATCTTCCCACTCCGAGTGGATCCTTAGATTTGGGATCCTTAGATTTAGGATCCCATCCATTACCGTCTTCTTGTGTCTATCGACCATTCAGCCAATCAAGGCTACGCTCTCAACGAACGAATGATAATGAATTAGTGTCCCAAGAAACGTCGTGGTCTCAACTGTCGGCTTTCCAATTGTCCCAAAATGTTTGTCCCCGAAAGTCAGATAAGCGATGGAATGAACCAGCAGAAAATCCTGATCATCATTTCAACGAGATTCCTTCAAGCAAACCAAACTACCGAAGTTGCCGTGGAGCAATAATCACTCCTTCGCAAAAATTAGAAGCAGTCATTGAGAAAGATGAAGACTCCGAAACACTTCGCATTCATAACAATCACTCTTCAAAATGTCAACCATCGACGAATATCCAACTACCTGGTGCAAGAACTTCATCCGTTGATAAGGAATTTCTGATCACGCAATCATCATCTTGTCCTGACTCGACAATCCCAACTGAGTCTCCTGCTAAACGGAGTCGCTTGTTCGTCACAAATCAACGATTTTGGGAAGAGTCGTCAGAAGATACGAATCTATCATTTCAGCAATTGCCATCTCATGAATTTGTGAAAACTCCTTCGCAACCAAGATCAGATCTTTCACGATTTTCCGAAACGAATGATCTGTCTTCTACCAATTGCCATTACATTCCCAAACTCCAACTTCCATCCACTAAAATTAACAAGTCAATCGCCTCATCTGATTCTCCTTGTGATCCCACTCAGTCAACACCAGACACACCAGGGCGTCACACATCATCCCTTCAGTCATCGAGAGAACGTTCAGGTGGAAATAGAAATTCAGAGAAGGTGCGTGTTTAATCCACTGAGATGACGCTCTTATGTTCCTTGTGTTCGGTCGAATAATCACAAAATAACTGTATTCGTTGTCACTAAGAGATTTCAGACGCTCTTCTATCCCTTGCAGAGATTCTGTGAGAATGAAAGCTTGATAGAAGCTTCCATTCAAACGACACCAAACACATCATCAAGGACATTAGAGAAAACTTTAGGAAGTGCGCGACTCCCGAAGCCTCCAGTCTCCCCGATCTCTGTTTGTGAAGTGAAAAAAACCCTTAATCAAACGAAGGACTTTTCATCCCCAAACAATCGAGCGACACCGAGCACAACTCCTTCATCCGAAGCGTTGACTCTTCGGAACACACACGATCGTCTCTTCTATACAAATCCATCCTCATCGCCGTCTGATGCGCGGAAAGCTGCAACACGAACGCCATCCCTTCAGCAAGGCACAGAGTCTCGATTGAAAACCCCGACTGTCCCAAAATACCCTAATCTTCAGATTGGTGAGACAATTTATGTATTTCATTATTTCACTGAAATGAATCTTTTATCTAGATGATTGCGATCGAACTCAGGTGGATCCTTCTCAGGAAATTCCTTCCTATGGGCGACCGTTTACTTCTACCTCATCAGCGATGCGATCTCCTCTTGAAACAAGACGCGAGTCTTCTGGGACAACACGCGAGTCCCTTGGGACAGCACGGGAGTCGCTTGGGACAGCACGCGAGACGGTCTCTGTCTGTGCAAGAGGGCCAGGAAGACGAAGCGGGGCGACTGAATGTTCCCGTTCAGGAAAAGGGAATGAGGGAAAAAGATCTCGCGACGAAATGACGGGAAGCGCTTCGATGACGCCCAGCGGGAAGTCCCAATCCATGAAAGAATTGGAGAAGTCGAGAGTGTACGACGCTCCACAGAAGGTTCTCTATGAGGTATTTTGAATTGTAGATAGAGAATCGATGATGATGATGTGTAAGAGAGTGTTGTAGTGATGGTTGTAATAAATGCTGTGGAATGATTGAGAGATTGCGATGATTCAATTTTCTCTTCAGTTGACGACACCGAAAGAAGGAACGTGTCAGAAAGGGAAGGGACGACTTTGTTTGACAGAAGCAGTCAATAAGAGTAAGATAATGTTCTCATCACAATTCCTGTTTGTATCGTAATCTGACAGAAAGCAAATACATGAACGCTACTAGAGAAAATGAAAGTCAAACAAGACGTTCAAATTGTGGGACGGAATCATCATTCAGTATTTATTCGCCTCGAAAAGGATTCTTGGATACTGTGGCATTTAGGACTCGCTATGATGAAAGACTTTCAGATCATTCATTGAGTTCCGGACACAGGACTCTTCCTTGTTTCCTTGATAGTCAAAAGAGCAATCAACGGCGTTCCTGCAAGCAAAGCAACGTGATGTCCAAGATGTTCAACAGGGCTGTCCGCGACATTACGCAAGACAAACTCCGTGCGAGTGACTTTTCACGGAACTCAATGACGCCAAGCACGGACTCAAACGCGACAACCCCAGTGACTCTTGGAATTCAACCTTCAAGGCAACTAACACCACTTCCACCATGTTCTCATCCAGGACGACATCATGGCTTTACTGCTTGGAGCGACACCCTCACATCACACAGACCTGTTCAACGGCATCAATTCGATGAAGACGAAATTGAAAATCCGTTGAGTCCCAAAAATACGTTTACCAGCGGACGACGAGACTCAGTTCGGCTGGATCGACAAACAAATACCAGAAGTCGTTTCAAAGGAACCAGTAGATTCGTCAATCCCTCAGAATCCTCAGAAATGACGTCATCGATTCTTCCGTATAAGAATGTGGCACTCAAGAGAGAGATGAGATTTTCGAGTGGTACAAAATGTTCTTTAGCAAGACAAGCGAACAGGCACCACCAATAAATTTCACAGAACGAGTACCAGTTTTATTTGAGTTTGTGAGGAGGATGGAAAAATACACAAAA